ATATATATATATATATATATATATATATATATATATATATCAAGCACAAAATAAATGTTAGTTGTTTTTATTATTTTAAAAAAAAAGTTTAAGTTTCCCAATAAGGACAACTTTTTCCATGTTGGCTAACAAAGCAAAATCTAACAAAATGTTGGGTGTAAGAGACAGAGAAAGGATAATAACAAAAGAACAGGCAAATATATACACCAGGCAAACACAAGAAGCAAACAGGAATCACACATCTTGACACCCAAAGCACTAAAAGGCTACTTTATAATGCATAAAGTCAAGTGAAAACACAAGTTATTTCTCCTTAGGCATTCAGTAAGGCAGCAACAACTTCCATAAAGCAGAACTATAAAAGATTCAAGGAAAAAGGAAAAACACACTAGTAACAAAAGACTTTAACAAACTAGCCCCAGTCCAGGACAGTCTGAATGGACCAAACAAAATACAAACAATAAATAAATAAATAATAAAAACCTGGAAGCTCTAAATAACATCATTAATAAAGTAGCACATACAGATATATGTTGAACTCTGAACAAACTGTTAACACAGATGATACCTCCTTTTAAGAACACACAACATTCACAAACCAATCTTGGATGGCAAAAAATGAAGTCCAAAGAACAAAAATAACGTAGAACCCTTCTAGCCATAAAGTAATAAAAGTAGAAATTAAAAGCAAAAACAAAAAGGCTGTCTCACCTGACAGTTTTAAAACATATTAGCATAGAAATGTTGAGTCAAGGAGGAAGTTCAAAACAAAAATAAATAAATTTCTTGAAAATGATTTTAAATTTTACAAATCAGAGGTATACATACAAGCTAAAAACAGCTTACAAGTTTTGTAATACCAAGTACCTTTTCAACATAAATACGTTTAACATCCCATTCAAAAACAAAACAAAAACAAATTAATAATCATAAAAACACAAATACATGAGTCAAAAATAGAAGAGAGGCAAAATGAATGAATCGAATCAAAGCTTGTCCTCTGAAAAACGTCTACAACATAAAAAAGCCACTAACTAAAGTATCAGGAACAAAAGGATAAAAACATAATATAAGAACTTTAGTGACAGAGGGAAATAATCATAAAAACAGACTTTCAAAATTCAAGAAGTTACTACACATACATTTGAAAATTCTGGATGAAATCAATTTTTTGTTTTTATTTATTTATTTGTATTTTAGTTGTAAATGGACACAATATCATCATTTCATTTATTTAGGTTTTTTTTTTTTTTTGGTAGTGCTGAGGATCAAACCCAGTGCCTCACATGGGCTAGGCAAGCACTCTTACCACAGAGCCACAACCCCCCCAGCCCAAAAATCAATGTTTTTTAAGACAAATAAAACATACCAAAATTGTTTCTACCAGAAACAAAGCCTAATCAGACTTAGAATTCCCCCAAGAGAAAGCTAGAAAACGATGGGCTGGGATTGTAGCTCAGTGATAGAGCACTTGCCTAGCATATGTGAGACACTAGGTTTGATCCTCAGCACCACGTACACATACATAAATAAATACATAAAGATCCACTGACAACTAAAAAAAAAAAAAATGTTTTTAAAGGAAAGGTAGAAAATGAGGCAAACTGCTATCTTAAGCCTTTCGATGGGATACACTAAGGATCACATCACTCCTGTGTTATTCTTGACAAAAACACATAACTAGACCTACCATAGTCAAACACCTAACCATTCTAAACTGAGGGGCATTATACATAACAGGTGATCCAAAACATCAACATCCTGAAGGACAAAAAAAGGCTAAGGAATTGTTCTCGATTATATGGAACCTAAAATATATGATGACCACAAATGCTGATGGAAGACAGGGAAAGACTTTATAAAAGACATAAATGGGGCTGTTCACATGAATCCAGACCGTATATAGAATACTACTACTGAATAAATGATTGATTTTCTGATTACAATAATTGGTCTGTGATTACAAAAGAGAAGGTCCTTGTTCTTAGAAAGTAAACACTGAAGTATTTTGGTGTAAGGGTATGATGTCTACAACATTCTCTCAGTTCTGAAAAGTCATAATATTATGTATGGCTATCCAGAGAGAATGAGAAAATAAATATTTAATAGCTGGTGAAACTGGAATAACAGGATGCAGTGATTCTAGCAGATCCCCCTGTCCATATTACCTTGGTCTCTTTGTTGGCCCCAGGATTCGTCAGTTTCTGAGGCTACCAGGCTGAAATTCATTTGCTAAACACTGGAGTTGGAGCTACCGCTTGGTGGTAAAGCACTTGCCTAGCATGCATGATCTGAGGGTGGATGGGGTTCAGGGCAGGGGGGATGTTTGGCTACTTGGTAAATTGTCTACTAAATCATTAGTGCCCACTATTTTTCCTCAGTGTAAATTTTTCTGTTAGAATGTAGTAAAAAAATAATAGGCATTCTCACTTGGGAAACAGGTATTTCTCTTTTTTCCTGACAACAGGGATTACAAAACAATGATTCTCTTAGGATGACATCAGATCGGAAAATTAAAGCCAAATGTGAGGGCCACTACTGTGAACTTCACAGCAACTTTTCAAGTCCACTCTTTTCCTTAGCCCTCATTATTTTCATCTGCGTTTTACCAATTTTTCCTCTATTCTGAGGTAAAATTCAATCCAAAAACCATTTTAGCTTTCTGGGAAATGTTAAGAACTACTAATGTGCTAAAGCAGGTAAGTTTAGGCTCTTCCTGACTGCTCCTTCTGTCCTTACACTGGTCACTGGGAATTCAACATAACACAGCAGCTTCCATGGCAAAGTATGTCCACCTGAACCCTTCTGGGAAGATTCCATGCTGTAACTTCGAAAGCCTGTGACAGCCTGGAGCACAGGTTTGGCCCCCAATGATCTACTAAAGGTAAATTTTTCAGTGAACCAAGTTACACGAATCACTTACCTGAAAAGGTCGTAACTAAGCACAGTTTAGATATTTATACCAAGAATGAGTAAGGTCCCCAGATTACTAATATTGAAGGTATGACAAAATGTATTACTTCAATACTACTAACAAATGCTTTACATTTCAATAGTTTTGGCGAAACCAAAAAAACAAAAGCAAAAATCCCCCATGTAAATAGAACACTTTTATGGGTTGCCTTGCCCGCCCGGTGACACAAGACCTAGGGCATGGGACTGCAGGGAGAGAGGATGAATAAGGGAGCCAACAATTGGGGGAGGAGGATTGAAATATCAATTCGATGTGGGCTTGTGTTTTGAGCAGCAACAGCAGCTTCAAAAAGAGAAAGCCACTAAACTTCTAACAAAATGTCTATTTTAAAAAGAAAAATTAGCACAAGAGGCAGTTTTTTCCAGTCTGTAACCAACAGTGGTCCTTCAGCAGCAAACAGAAAGGACCATCAGGTAGGAGATGGGCTGTAGCAATCCGAAAACACCCCCACAAGGTTGTCAAGGAAACCAAACCAACTACATTTTTCTATAGAAAAGAATCACGGGAGAGGCGAACATGCCATGGAATATTTTATGAGACAAGGACTTAAATTCCTTCTTGAAATATCTTTCAAGAAGCTAAATTTACTCCCAAGCTACTTTATTAAGCCCTACATCCACAATTCAAGCAAGCAAGCTTATAATCCTCAAACTCCCAGAGAGGTAAATTCAGCAATCACATTAAAAATCAGCTGATCTTGGGCCGCTGAGAGTACGGGATCTTTCCTAAAGTCTCTTTAAACATCAAGAAGCGATCACAATCAAAAAGGGAGGGAGGACTTTCCCAAATTTAGGCTGTTCTTCAAAATGGAGTCTTTAAATACATCATCTCTGAGAGAAAAGGTAAGTCTATGGCAAACTAATGCAAGAGAGCTTGGCCTGGGTGTGCCGTTTCAGGAAAAGAGCAGAGTGGGCAGTTAAAAAAGGGAAAGAAAGAAAAAGAAGAAAAGGGGGTCAAGTTGGCAAATCCGTGCAAACGTCTCCACGAGTCGGTGTTAAGGAATCATCATCCGCCGGGAGAAGGGACACGCACGTGAGGACACGGGCGCACCAGCGACGAGGATGTCACCGGCAGGGCGACGTCGGCCGGTGGACCAGCGCTCGCAGGACCTGAGCGCCCCGCGCCCCGCGCCCCACGCCGCACCCCGGCCGGCAGACCTGGCAGCGGCGGGCGCAGCGGGCGGAGGCGAACGGGGCGCACCTAGACCGGGCGCCGCGTCCCGGCAGGAGCCTGTCCCCTCGCGGCCCTGCAGGGGCCAAGCCGCAGGCGCCGAGCGGGACCGGAGCCCGCGCCCCGACCTGTGCAGGTGGCCGGGGCCTGAGCCCAGCGGGCGCGGGGGCGCGTCCAGGTGATGGCGGGGGCGGGAGCGGGGGTGCGCGCCGAGCGGCTCTTACCCGGTGCCACAGTCCACCACGCAGGGAGGCAGGGAGCCCGCCATGCTCGGGACGCGCGGCGCTCGGGCCCGCCAGCCGCTGAGAGCGACCGGCCGCTGTCCGCCCGGCCGCCCGCTCGCCCCGCACGCCGCTTCTCCCGCGAGCCCCCGCAGCGCCGCCGCCAGGAGCCCGGATGCGCCGCCGCCACCACGTGACGTCATTCCGGGCCAGCCAATCAGGACGCGTGGGCGCCCCACCCCCCTCGCCCGCCATCTTTAGTGCTGGCAGTGAGGCTTATTAGCCCACGCGCCCAACCTGGCTGTGGAAGAGATTGGGGTTTGTTTTTAACTGACTCATGGTGCATGTGACCCGGTTTCCGAGGCCTGGCTCCTTTCTCATCCTGTCTTCCTTTACGTCTCGGCTCAAATATCACCTTCAGGGACGTTGTCCCTGATCACCCTACCAAGGTTCCCTCCTCGAACTTTAATCTCTATCTCAACAATCTGTTGGCTTCATTCCTAAGACTTGAAGCAAAAAAAAAAAAAAAAAGCTTTATTTATTTACTCATTCATTCGTTCGTTCGTTCATTTATAGTCTGTCTCCCTTACTGGACTATAGGCTCCACGGAATAGGGTTCCAGTCTGTCAAATTTCTATTATGACCCAATGCCAACTTAACAGCATTTGGTGCTCTCATGGGAAACACCCAAATGTTGAACTAATGGATGAATAACTTTATATAGAGGGGGAAAAAAACTGCTGTTAAAATTACCGTATCTTAGAGAACTGCATTACTTAATTCTAAGAAGAAAAATCTGCAAAACAAATGCACAGCTAAGCTTAAGGAATGAACCACCTTAGACTGAGTCAACACCACACCTAGACCATAGCCAGAAAATATTTTCGAGTATCAAAGGTGATATGGTCATCCAAAGTTCTTACAAAAACCAGAATTGATTAATTCCTAGGTAACACATTTTTTTTTCTTTTTACCTGCAAGAGTTAAATAAGGCCTTGACCTAGATAATGTTAAGAGAACTGAAGAAAGAAGTAGAAAATGGGAGAAAAATTAAAGGTTAGGAGTGTGGAAGATCCCCGTATAGAACCTCAAGGCCAGCGATGACTGTCTTGTCTATACTGCATTTGCCACTGTCCTTCCAGCTCCAATTCTGTCATGGCACTAGCCAAGACATCATAGAAAAATTCCAGATTACAAAATGTTGTCATTGTCATGTTTTTTCTTTTATTTACTTAATGCATATTTATCAAATGTATCAAATGCCTACTATGTGTGAGTCAGTTTTCATATTAGACTGGTCATGTAATAATAAGCAGGATGTTCACAGTATCCCCTTCCACAAGTCTAGTGAGAGATAGCCCCAGAAAACAGACATAGTAATACAATTTGGTAAATGCTAACATGGCACAAGTCCAGGGAGCCCAGAAACCCATTAGAGGGTAACTAACTCTGGTTTGAGGGTCAGTAGGAGTTTTTCAAAGCCATAGAGTCTAAGCCAAAACCTAGAGGGTAGGTAGATAGCAGCTAGGTTGGAAAGTAATCCTGGGATGGGAAACATATGCCAAGGCCAGGAGGACCTCAAGGCTTCACGGCATCAGGGAAGAAGCCTCTGTAGAAGTTTGGGACCAGCTAGTAATGAAGGACTGTCACTTCTGTATAGGACTTACTGGGAATGGTGGTCACCATCAACAGCTGGTACAGATAACAGATTTCCTGATTTCACTGATACCACTAGAGACCACTGGCCCTTGAGCTATCAAAGATGTTTTTGTAGGCAGGAAACAGAAAAACCAACTAAAAGTAGTGCCGCAGTCTGGCTGAGCACAAATCATAAGCCACTAAGAGGAACAAACTTTATTTCTGAACTCCACCAGCACACTCCACACACGCTCCCCAGGAACTCTCCCCAACGCCAAGCGGCTCCTCCAGGAACTACCAACCGGAAATCCCTCCTCTGGCACTTCCCCAACCAATGCGAACTCTTCAGGAATCCCTGCGAGAGCTCAACCGGAACTCAACGGGAACTCCGAGAGAACTCAAAAGTCATCATCTTAATGGCTTGCTGGCGTCACCTCTCAACCACTACTTCTGGCAAAAATGCCATGTGTCATCCCGATTCGGCTGTGGCCCTCAACAAAGTAGAATGAGTAATAACCAAACTTTCTTGTATAATAAGTCCAATAACTCCAGACAATTCAACAACTCAGTGATGTCATCAACTCGGTGATGTCATTGTGAGCCCAAATACTCAGTTCCATTAGGCTCTGCACATTGGCCTTTGTCCTCAGGCTTTGCTTCTTGCACTTTTGAGATGGCTATTACTGCTCCCAGCCCCAAAGCTGTAAGGGACAAAAAGGGCAGCGCCTCCTGAGTCCCTTTCTGAGAGGAAAAGGGAGAAGGCTTACTCGCAGAGCCTCCAGCTGCTCCCCTCCTGTTTGTTAGCCAGGTCATTTCCTCAGGTGGCCGTAACAAGGACACGAAGCTGGCCGGCTTAACACTACGCTCTCATGGTTCTGAAGGCCAGACGTCCAAGATCAAAGCACCAGCAGAGCCGCGCTCTTTCTGAAGATGACACATCAGAGTCTGTTCTGTGCCTTTTTCCTGCCTTCTGGTAGCGTTGGCAGTCCTCGTGTTCCTTGGCTTCTACACACAGCACTTCAGCCTCAATCTGCATTGTCACCCAGCCTTCTCCCTGGAGGTCTGACAGCATTTTCACATGGTGTTCTCTTCTTATAAGGACACCAGTCACATTGGATTAGGGTCACTCTTATGACCTCATCCTAACTTAATTACATCTGCTAACATCCTGTTTCCAAATAGGGTCACATTTACAGATACCAAAGGTTAGGACTTCAATATTTTTTTTAAAGGGATACAGTTTAACCCATAACACCAGTCATGCCAAAAGCAATCAGCAGTAGTGTATTGATTTGGACTATTGAAGACAATCCCGTAAGACCAAAAGGGCCTGTGTGCTCTGAAGTGTATGACTGCCAATACCTGACTGGAATTTTGTTCAATCAGCAGGAAGGAGGATAGCCATTTTCTAAGGACACAGCATAAAGACACACTGTGTGAGAACACAATGAGAATTCTGCAAGCCAAGAAGAGAGGCTTCACCAAAACCCCACGGTGCTGGCACCCTGATCTCAGACTTCCAGCCTCCAGAACTGTGAGGAAACAAACGTTTGTTGTTTTAGCCACACAGCGCGCAGTATTCTGTCATGGCTGCCTGAGCAAACCAAGACAGCTCTTGGCATTTTGTCCCGGGCTGTTCTTCTTCTTAGTGTTGAAGTCCTCTAGATCAGAAACCAATTGCATCTCTTTTCACAGTGCCAAGGGAAAAGCACAGAGAAAAAACAAACTTCCTCATCTGCAGGAAGCACTTGGATGAAAACACTCCTGAGAAGTTGGCTTTGTCCAGTTCAGGGAAAATTCTAGCTACTACATACACATTAACCTAGGATTCTTTTCCCATTGAGTACTCAACCTGCTTCCCTGACTGATATCCTGCATCTAACATGTAATGAGAGACATGTTTTAGTTGACTTTCCTTAGCAAAAAGAGACCTTCCTTACTGTGCTTCTACCTAAGAACAGCCTCTCTCTCCAGCCCCGCCCAGCAGGCAGAATCATGGAAGTCAGAACAGCTCATGTATGAAATTCATGCATGAATTGCATGGTAGAAGATGCCACTGTGCATCCCCCATTTTGAGGGCTGCATCATCCCACAACACTCACAAATGAACTTTTAACAAATGCTGGTGGTGATGTGTATTTATGCATATGAAGACGAGTAAGAACAAAACAATCGGGGCTTAGAGATTTTTCTATCCAATGGAATTTAGTCCATGAGTACTTGAACAATGTGATCTTGATTTCCTGCATTTAACTAGTTGTCCTGGGCCAGAAAAACAACACAAAAACTAAAAGCTCTCTTCAAAAACTGCCCACCCAGCAGCTCTGTGAATCTTAACTCTCAGAGCTGTCGGCAGGAGCGATCTGTGTGTTCCCTGTTGCCATGAGGATGCAAACAGAGGAAGAATTCCCCCCAAATTAGAACCCGTTCCTTTGAAAGTCACTGGCATTCTCCTTTAAGAGGAAGGGCCTGTCACTGCACTCAAAGGACTTCCCTGACGTCTTGGCAACAGCAGGAGAAAATGGTCCAAGCCAGAGTTGATTGGTTGGAGGGAATTGAGTGTGGCAGAGAGTTGATAGCAGACCAAAACCCAGGAGACCCAAGGAAATTACTCAGGGAGCTGAACACATTCACATCAACTCTGCTTTGTTTCTGTCTGTGGCGATTAGTCAAACTGGAACCCTGGTCCTCCACACCCCCTTCTCCACTGGCTCTCCTCCTAGGCCACTCGGCCGCCAAGTCCTGCTCCTTCAATCCCACCACTTCCCCTGAGTCTCCACTCCTACTTTTTATTCCTACCATGGCTCTTAACTACTCAGTTGCCTCCCACCAGCCACCCTGTCTCCAGACTTTTGCCACTGCAGGACTTCTCTGGGGTGGATTAGGCTGCTATGAAAGGCGTCTTTACAAAATACAGGAAGTCCACAAATCATGTCAGCCTTCTTTCTCCAAAACCCCCAGGGACTCCCTCCTATTGTGGGACTTGGTCCAAACCCATAATATAGCACTTGTGGCCCTCTATGATCTGTTCTTATGCTACCTTTCTGATCTCCTCTCACGTTGAGCCCTTGGACACATCTGGACACTCCAGACCACACACTGTTCCTCACAACCTCCATATTGTGATGCAAGCTCCCCAGTCCAGAACCTTCCTCTGCACCTACCCATCCTCTTTGGCTCATCCTGCCAATTTCAGTTGGAAGGTGTCCACTCCATGCACTCAACAAAGCAGGCTAACCTTCCACTTGCCTCTCCTCGGAAGCCATCACCGACTCCACATCTGCCAGTCAGAATCCAGAGGTAAATCTGAGAGTCTGCATTTTCCCAAGTTCCTGTATTCTACAAAACAGTATTTCAGTTTTGTTGTTTTGGTGCTGGGGACCAAACCCGGGATGCTCTACCACTGAGTTATACACCCTCAGCCTTTTTTTTTCCCCCTAATTTTTGAATCAGGGTCTCACTGAGTTGCTGAGACTGACCTTGAATTTGCGAGCCCCCGTCTCAGCCTCCAGCGTAACTGAGATGAGAGGAGTAC